GATATTCGTAATATTACCGACGGCCTTGTACAATCTCGTCCAAATTTAAAAGATAATTATTTAGAAGCCAATGATTGAAAAATTATTGAAGAAATGATGAAACTTCTTAAACCTTTTTATACAGCAACTTTAATTCTTTCAGATGCGTCGCAACCCTCACATGGATCTTTACGATTAATTATTCAGGGACTTTTAAATCATCTTAATAATCATAGTTTTAGTATATATAGTGAAACAATTAAAGAAATGAAAACCAAACTAAATGAATATTGGACTTATCTTAAGAAATCTTCTGCTCTTCCCAGTATTCTTGATCCGTCGACTAAGTCTGAAGCATTTTATGAAACTGACCGTATATTAGCTATTGATCAATTAAAAGCTTTTTATTCATTATATAAAAAAGATAAATCAGAATCAATTATCAAAATTAAAGATCCATTGGAAACCTTTAGAAAACTAATGCAAGTGCAAGAAGATATACATGGAGAAACTGCAACAAACACAGAGGATGAGTTAGTGGCATACTTAGCTTTATCCTGTGAACCAGGTGTAAATCCACTATTGTGGTAGAAAACTAATGCTCACCGTTTTCCAACTATAGCCCGCATTGCAGCAGACTACTTTGCCTTACAGGTTACAAGCGTTCCTTGTGAGCGCGCTTTTTCTATTGCCAAGAATACTATAAATTCTACCAGAACTAATCTTCTTGAGGATACAGTTAGAGCTTCTTTAGGCCTAAAAAGTTGGTTTGAGGAGGGAATTATTGAATAAAAAATATGTATATATAGATATTAGTTCTGTATATCGTATATAGTTTATTTTATCGTTATCATAATAAAATCTATAAAATCTAGAGAATCAGTCATGTGATTTTTTGAGTCATTTAGAAGTCGACTAAGTCGACCTCTATGTTACACTAAGTCGACTCGAGTTTACTCAAGTTTTTTAACACCCCTATATAAAGTAATTTGGCGTATTATATGAAGGACCAATTTGCTTAGGCAAGCATGTAATGCAAGAAGTTCTCAGATTTCACATGCTACTTACAGAATTTTATACGTAACAGTTTATAAGAAACGTGGAGTTCAACGTAAAAATTTTCAAAATTCCATCAGAAACATCTATTATTTTGTAATAAGTTAAATGAGGTTATTTGTAAAAAAAATTTTTGAATTAAGGGTAGAGTGTATGTAGTCGAGTGTCCAGAATTATATCCGCCATTTCAAAATTATGCGTGCGGCAAATCCTAAATTATGCGGGCTCGAAATTAGTATCGGTTAGTGATGCCATAGAATCGTCCCAATGAATTTTTTGGGATGCAACCGGGTACGGTTGCGGATACAGCAAAAACCGCGCATGGATTCTGTTACGTAACTTTAATTAGTAACGTAACTTTAGTTAATACCGTAACTTAAATTAAAAAGCGCAACTTTAATCAATAGCGTAACCGTTAATATAACGTAACTATACCGAAACTATAACCAAAACTAATTGAAACTATAAAATTAATCGTAAATAGGTGCTATGGTCATAAAAATATTATAAATATAGTTTTTTTTTTTTGTTTTGACAAAATTTTTTAAAATTGATATTTCAAATAAAATAATTATACAATTGATATTAGTCAAGAGACGCACTCTTCATTATTCGAATTCAATAGTAACGCCGAACAAGTTACTGGTTCTCAACAGTCATCGGATGATGTATTGGTTCAAAATACTAGTGAAACTGACGATCAATCTGCTCCAAATTTTCTCAAAAGAAAACATTGTGGTGAATCTATGCCGGACCTAGTGTGAGATTATGTCAATGTTGGAGATAATTTGGGTGATGAACATGATGGAACCCCCAACGATCGGCTTCAGGAAGTCATAATTATAATTAAAAGAATGAATAATTCTTTAATATAGACTTTACATATGTATTTATAATATAACTTATAGCATATCTATAGCATATCACGCTGCATAAAAATTACAGTATGATTATAACAATACGGTGCATACGGAATGTTGCGACATGCCGTGACATAAAATAAAATATTACGGTAAGTTGTAACTTAGTTATGATACGGCTGATTCCAATGCCCTGAGATTCTACAGTAAGTATCGGTATCGGTATTAAAAATCACTTTAAAATTTTTCTGACCAATCAAATTTCAAGATCGGGAGTAGCTTCTATGTATTGTAAAAATTTTCTTTTAAATTTTGGTATAAATAATAACCTAACAGCATTATGTCCATGCTATAAAAACCTTGACCGGTATAATGGTATAATCAATGATTTGATAGTTTGGTCAATATTATTCAAAAATCTTGCCCAGAATTAGACCAACGTTAGAATATAATCTAGGCCGACTTGATAGCAACCGTCCGTGTTACCTAATTTATACGAATTATAAACTTATCTATACGTACGTATAAACTAGTGATTTTTGTACAAAACAAAATAATTTGCTATATACTTAATATTTATATGGTATTACACTATACCCTTAAACAAAACAATGAATACGATTGTTTAATATTGCCGCAACCATACAGTATTAATTAATTGTAACAATAACAATTGTTCGTTGAAATACTAACGCTTACAAAGTGCCCTTATAAATAACTACTAGACTCAAATAAGAAAAATAACTACTAGACTCAAATAAGAAAAATAACTACTAGACAAATAAGAAAAATAACTACTAGACTCAAATAAGAAAAATAAAAACAAGATACGTAAACAAAATTCAAAATTAGTTTCAATCTATATATGTAAATTTATAAAAAATATTTGAAAAATATATATATTACAAAGATTATACAGGTATACTGTAGTAAATCGATCTCGTAATTTAAAGGATTGGTAACAAATTAGAAATTATATTAAAATATTAACATAAAATACATACGTACGTACGTACGTACCGTAAGGGTGTGCCGTTTATTACGTAATTTCTTTTTATTAGAAAGCCAATCATAAAGGTTTATACTCAATATGTAGACGTGATAAATTGCTGACCCTCCCCCTCCCCTAATAAACGGCGCTCCCCTAAATTCTCGAAATAGCGTTATTTCGAGAATTTACGGTATGTATACTGTACATATGTATTCGTTCTTTTTAGTAAAGGATATATATATTATTAATAGTACTAATAGTACTAGTAGTATTATAGTTCTCTAATTAATTTTATTGAATTAAAAAAAATGAACGCCACA